GGGGGGGAGAGCACACATGATTAGGAATAACATGCGGATGGGAAAGGGGAGAGGGGAGAAAAGACCCGCGGCGCTGCAGATTTAAAATAAGGGCATTGCATGAGGGATGCGACCAATGAATCGGCGTTATTGAGGCCACGACTCCTCGCAGAAACAATGGATCCACGTTCGCGAGGCCACAGTAGCTTTTATACTTAAAATCTGATCCGCGTTCCCGAGGCCACGGCGTTTGCAAATTCAATGGTTCTTCACACATCGCGCATCCCCACCAGCCCATTCAGAGACCCTGGCTTTGAGAGCTGACGGGAAAAGGGACGAAGAAACGCATCTAGTGAAACAAAGCGAGCAACCAGTGTGAACAGAGAGATCTCTGGGAGTAACAGGGTGGCCTTGGAAAGCCTCTCGGGCCGCTCTTGGGGCCCTCTTGGGGCTCTCTTGGGGCTCGCTTGGGGGCCTCGTTGGGGGCCTCGTTGGGAGCTCTGTGGGGCCTCTTGGGGCTGTCGTGGGGGGGCTCGGTGAAGAGAGGGGGGGTTGCAAGCGTTGCCCCCCCTCCCACCACCCTTCTGGGCCATCACCTTAGAATATTGGCGCGCTCTTGGCCCCATCCTGGGGCGCTCTTGGGCGGTCTTGAGGCCGTCTTGGGGGCCTCTTGGGCCCCTCGTGGAGCTCTCTTGGGCCATCTTGGGGCCATCTTGAGGCCTCAGAAGCGCATCGGAAGCGAAAAGGCGAGAAGGCAAACTTCATTACGTTCCCTTTGTTGTTTGACGGATTTGGGCTTCTCGGGGAGGTCCTGAGGGGTCTCCGAGGACACCTGGAACCGTCTTGTGTCCCTCTTGGGGCCTCTTGGAAGCATGTCGGAAGCTGCCTTGAAGCATGTTAGGCTGTCTTGCGCCATCTTGGAGGCCATCCTGGGCTCTGTGAGGCCCTCTTGGAGTAATCTTGGGCCATCTCGGGCGCTCTAAACCCTCGCGGCCCCCCCTGTCCAGGTCCAGTGGAGGGGGTCGGGGAAATGGTAACCCTCTCCCCGAAGGGGAAGGGAGGTTCTTTTGGAAGAGGGGGGAAAGATCTCGTTAGACTACGCCCAGAGGGCTGGTGGGATTCAACACCCCTCGACACACATTGGTCCGCGCTCCAAGAGCCAATCATGTCTCTAGACGTGCACATACAAACCTGCGGTATACTAAACCTACATATACGATACAGTATATATACATATATGTGCGTGTCGTGATCACATATGTGTAGATGCACGTGTATGTATGTATGTATATATAATCTATATATATATATAGATCGACGGGCCCGAGCTCACGAGGACAAGATTTTGGGTAAGAATGCAACACGCCGCGCTCCAAAGGCCAATATCTTATGCAAACATATGCGTGTCGGCGCTCCCGATGACACAATCTCTCGTAGAAGCCGATGGGTCCACGCCCCTGTCGCTTCCAAAAGTCACTCCCTTGAGCGGTACGGATTTCTGACAATCTTCGCATACGTAAATCCCCATTGCTGCTAATTCTGGAAGCCAGCTGGTCGCTTCGACAAAGCCCCCCGCTAACGCGGGCTCGGCGCCAACCGACCAGCCAGCCATCCAACCAGCCAACCAGTCTGCCAGCCGACCAGCCAATCAAGTGACTGACCAGCCAACCAATTTCCCAATATCTGACCTTTGGGAGAGCGTCTTATGCGGATCTCCGACGTGCTCATTTTCAGCGTTGGTGCCCCCACGTCCGCCAGCCAACCAGCCGAGTTGCTAACAAGGCAGCCGACCAACCAGTCAAAACCCAGCTGGACCAGCCGCGCAGTCCATCAAAAGGAGGGAGGGGGCCGGAGGCAGGAGGCACAGCATCTCACAATCTTCCACCCCCAATTGTCTTCAGCAGTACGATGCTCTAGCGCATGGAGCCCAAGACGCACCTTTAGCACCTGCCGAAGGACAACCGCCCTAATATCTTCAGCAGCACGAGGCTTGGCGCATGGAGCGCACGACGCATCTCCAGCATGTGCCCGAGGACAAGCGCCCTAAGACGGCCCCAAGAGGGCTCGAACAGAACACTGTTCTGCGGTCAAATACTTGGGCATGGTCAGTGGTCCCACCGCCGGCGACACCGGATGGAACGAGGCCCTGAAGAAGTTCACCCTACGCGTGCGCGGGCTTCGGAACATGGGGCTTGGATATACCATCACCGCCCATACCTTCCAAGTGATGTGTGTCTCAATGCTTAAATTTCTTCTTCAATTTCTTCCTGTCTCCCCTGCCGTTGAGCGTGCTTATGAGGCTGCTCTGCAACTTCTTCCTGCCGCCCCGAGGAACGCCTTCTCCTATAGCATGCTTACCGATATGAGGCTACTTGGGATGACATTGGAGTACAAGGACATCCATGCCTTGGCCAAAGCATCCCAACTGCGGGTACTCAGGAAGGTACCCGAACTTCGGCAAGCCCAAATGGACCTCCAGGCCGCTACCATGCACGACGAATGCATCCTTTTCCGACATGTACACACCAACCCAGCTTGCTGGTTCCAGCGGTCGTTCCTCACCCAAGTTCTATCCATGGATCGTCAACAACCTTATGGTGGTCTTGGCATACCCGCTGATGCAGTTCACCTCCAAGCTGAACTTTCTAAACAACTGCATGTTCATCACTGGTCCGGTGACTCCCCCTTGGACGACATTTACACGCGCTTTCACAACTGGCTCCCACAGACCACTCCTGGCATGGTCACTACTCTGGTACAACAGGTCAAGGCTGTCATTGCGAAATCGTCCCCGCACGTTGGGTTTGTTGTGCTTCGTGTTTGCTGTCGTGGAGTTTGCACTGCTGCTCGGTTTCAGGATGTCCCGAAGTCATGCATCGTTCGGTGCCAATCCTGCCACGACCAAGAGAACATCAACAGGGGGGCGGTGGATGACATGGTGCACTACAAACATTGCGATGGATTCCGTCAGCTCATTCTTCGTTGGCTGGGTGATGACCTTCCTCTGGTTTACTATCACAAGGATCGTACCTGGATGCTTTCTTTGCTCCTCCTTCGCCCCCTCCCCCCCAGAATGTGCTTGCTTAGTGCTTGCCTCTGCGACGCCTTTGTGTATGCACATAATAATGCTAGGGTAGGGGGTGCTGGCACTGTTGCGCAGTCTTTCCACGCCAGGATTCGACTGCTTAGTCGGCGGTACCCTAGTGTTGCATCAGCATTGAAGGACACATCGACCAACAACAACAACCATCCCCAGCGTGTGGAGTCAAAACTGTGTACAGCTTTGCTTGCGCTGCGAAAAAAAAGAGAGGGCTCGAACAGAACACTCAAGACAGCCCCAAGGCGGCTCCAGAGGGCCCCTCCGAGAGCTGACTTGAGAGGTTTGTCGTGTCCTTTTAGCATCGGTCGTCGGCCACAAGCGAATTTCGCTGCGTTGAATCACTCCCCTGTGCTGGCCGGCATGGTTGCGAAATGGTATCGTGCCACGCCATGCATCTAATACGTGGAATGCTAAGCTCTGTCACGCAATAATCCCGAACCTCGGGACCACAATTGTCGTGTCCCAAAGGCATGAGGGCGGCGGCGGCTCGCGATAGGCGTCTTCGATTGTATCGTCTCATTTCACGGCATTTGCTTGCCCGTGTCAAAGCCATGTTGGATTGCACCCCTCGGAGTGATTCTTAATCTCACGTGTCATTCAGGTCGCCTCGCGTGGTAGACGAATGGTGTGCTGGGTCGGAGCCGGTTGAGCTACCCCCCGACGCGCTTCATTCCGCGGTCCAGTTGGCAAAGCATCCCATTGCGCGTTTGCATCCACCGAATGGCCGAAATATTTTGTGGCGTCACAAGTTCGCCAGCATCGCCCCTGCATGGTCTTCACGGGCTCAAGCGCTTCGGGGTACTTCTATCTTTGCTATGCTAGGTGTTGCATTCGGCCGTCTGAGTGAGGCGGATGCTGGAGAAGATGAACGACCCTGCTTGCCAGTGACTCCAGAAATACATGTCTTTGGCACGGCCTCGATTTTTTGTAAACCGCAGTCATCTTGCATACGAGCGCAGGCGCCAGTGCATACTTACCGGAAACCATTGAGAGTAATCGCTTGGATGATAACCACTTCCGCCGCGTGCGGCATCGTGGACGTTACAGTCTAGAGCAAAGGTCGGCTGGTGTCCTGCTTGGTGCTGGGCAAGTCCAGGGGCGCTGCTAGCAGAGGATCTCTCGAACTTCCACAGTATGTTACTAGTCTCCACGTCCGACCGCGCGCTCTCCTGAGGCCAGCACTTCTGGTAGGGTGACGGGGCCGTCAGGCGAGGCACAGGCGCAGATTCGGAACACGCTCTGCATCTTGAGTGCACGCTCTGGCCCTCTTTGTCCCTGGTGATCGACTGCACCACCACGCCCTCCAGCGTCTCCCAAAGCTCCTTGGTAATCGACTCTGCAAAGAGCGATTTCGTGTCTAGCTCAGGGCTCCCCCCCTAAAAGCCCATGGAGTTTCGCTTCATCTTCCAGTTCAGATGCAACATGGGCTGCATGACCGCAGCTGGCGCTCGCTATGGTAGCAACGAGGCCGCGGTCAACCCTTGGCTCGACCCGTTCGGTACTTGCCCCGTGCTTCTTGTGGCGCTTCTCCAGGCTCATCGCGTTGGAAAGCACGCTCGGGGCCTGCAGGTTCTGGTCCACCGTCGTGTGCTTCTCCTCGATGCTAATCTCTTCGGCGTCGAAGCCTCGCTGTAGCGGTCGTCCCCGCTCCAGAGTCGCCAGGGCGCTCCAGCGTCGTTCTCGGCTGCGAGGTCGACAGTCCTTGGGATGCTCAGGTGGCCTCCAGAGCACCCCGCTCGAGGCCCAGAGGGCACCAGTCCTCCTCCTCTTCCTCCTCCTCCTTCTCCTTCCTCTTCCTCCTCCTCCTCTTCCTCTCCCTCCTCCTCCTAGCTGCTTTTGCTCAGGCACCTGCCTGGCCTGGCAGCTTCTAGGGAGCACCTGCTCCTCCTCCTCCTCCTCCTCCTCCCCCTCCCGCGCGGCGATGGTGGTTGCAGGGCGGCTCCAGTGGGTTCGGCGGCACATCCTCCAGGGGGTGTGCACCCACATCACGGTCGGCTCGGCCTCTGTGCAGGGGCGCTCCAAGGTCAAGATCATCCTGGACCCAGCGGGCCCTGCCATCAGCGACAACAATCGGGACGTGCTGCCGGGCATCCTCATCTGCGTCGAGGGCCTCCTGCGCACGCACGTGGCGGTCGACCGAGGGCGTCGCCACTCCGACGGGCGCCAGGAGATCGGATTATGGCTCTCTTCCCCAGCGGCCGCCCCCCCTCTTGGGCCAGATGATGACGACGATGACGGGGCTGGTGGCGATGACCTTAGTGGCGGAGGTGGGCATGGCCATCGCCGTCGCGCAGAGCATGGCCTACCTGACCCCTGGCATGGTCCTGGAGGTAGCGACCCATGGAGTGGAGGTTGTGCTAGTGCATGGCAACTCTATGGCACTGCGAAACGACCTCGTCGATGTGCAGATGGTGGCGACCCCCTCCCTTGCCTACCTGACGTTCCTCACTTCCCTGCGTTTGCTTGGAACCGAGATGCGCCTGAGTTCAAGATGCCGCCTGGCGGTGACGCGGGCGTCATTTTACAGGAGCTTGACTAGCATCATGGAAAGGCCGTTCCTGAAGCTGGTGTTCATAGTGCTGGCAGCGCTTCTGCTCATGGAGGCCTGGATTCTGAACTACTTGGAGACGCGGATGGTCTTCGAGAGGGTACTGGTGCTCAACTGCGTGGCGGCCCTGATGCCGCAGTCCGTGCTGATGGCGTGCTGGCGCCGAGCGATACCCAGAGCGACATTGTAGATTTGATGATGTATGAGCATGGCGACATTCTTGATGCTCCTCAGGGCATGGCTAGTCTGGCAGACCTTCCTGTCGACTCTGTTCCTCGTCCTGCTCCTGATCCTCCTCGTGGGCAGCCTGCTGAGGTCCCCGCTGTGGTGAAGAGCCAGTTCGCTGAGCTACAGCACACCATTGAGCAGACAATGACGGAGTTGACGGCTCTTTTTGGGCGCTCGCGCTCGGTGGTTGATTCTGGTCCTCACCCTCGGCCTCGCCCGACCTCGCTGGACCTTCCTGATTTCCGCGACGATGACGATGGGCACCTCTGGCTGAAGCACACACGGATCCCGATCGAGCGCTTTCGCAAGTGTCGGTCCCCGCTTCGTCGGCGGCGAGTGGACTTCGAAGTGTATTCGCCACGTGAGGCGGACCTGGATGAATGGGCGGAGTACCCTCATTGGCTGTGGCCGAGTGTTGCGGACGACAACCCGACGAACTCATACTGGAGCGTTGCTTCGCAGCGGGCCCGTGCCGTTGCTTGTCGCCCGGAGTTTTGGTTCATCGGGAGCTCTATCCGCGGAGGAGGGCTAGTGTCTCTTATTCCCAGGGTGTGGCCTGGTCTGCCATTGCAGGCCCCTGGGCTTCGTCTACGTGGGCAACTCGTTGTCGGTTGGCCTCCTGCTGTGCTTCGTGGGGGACACGCTGCGCTTCTCCCAAGTACTCGCTGTTCTTCAACTTCGCGGCGGGATTGGGCCCCCCTAAAGGGCTCCCGGTGCGAGGCGGTCGTCGGCTTCGCGGTGTTCGCCTCCTCCTCCTCCCTCTCCTCTGGCGGTCCCGAGGGATCGGCTTGGTGGCCCCTGGGGGAGGGGGAAAAATCCTCTCCCTCCTCCTCCTCCTCCTTTTCCTCCTCCTCCTCCTCCTCCTCCTCCTCCTCTTCCTGTCCTCCAGAGCATTCCTTGGGGGGCTCCAATAGGTAGCGAAAAGGGGGGACACCAGGGGTCAGGACTACGTCTGGCAACACCCGAATGGCGTTCCAGGACGAAAGGGCTTTCTTGTGAAGGAGCCGTGGTATTGATATCTCGCGTTCGGCGTAAGCTAGCGGACGGCCCACGGAAGCAGGCAGAAGTAGAGGAAGGGCGGCGTTGGTCCGACGGAAGCCGATTGAAGTCAAAGACCCTCTCCAAGCGAGGTCCACGCCATCGTACTCAGAGGTTCCGACGTTGGCTATGTGGCATCACGGCACTTCCAATCCCAGTGTGTGCGTGTGTGTGTGTGGTGTGTTAGTGTGTGTAAGTGTGTGTAAGTGTGTGTAAGTGTGTGTGTGTGCGTGTGTGTGTGTATGTGTGTCTGTCTGTCTGTCTGTCTGTCTGTCTGGCTGTCTGGCTAGCTAGCTGTCTGTCTGTCTGTCTGTCTGTCTGTCTGTCTGTCTGTCTGTGCGTGGTGTGCGTGTGTGTGTGCGTGTGTGATCGCAGTGTGTGTGTGTGTGTGTATGTGTGTGTGTGTGTGTCCGTGTCTGTGTCTGTGCGTCTGTGTGTCTGTGTGTCTGTGTGTCTGTGTGTCTGTGTGTCTGTGTCTGGGTCCCTTTGTCTCTGTGTGTGCGCATATGCGTGCGCGTGTGCGCGTGTTTGTGTTGAATGTGCCTGTGCTGCCGATAATTCGTTGATGACGTCCTCGCAGCTTTTCGGATTCCTCGCCAGTGGCCGGTCGCACATGCCCCATAGCAAATCTAAACTGCACGGTCTGTTGGTCCCAACCCGATGCTTCCCTTGTCATCTTTCCCTTGCCTTCGCGGTATGTTTCCATGTGTCCCCGTTCCCGCTGCGTGTGTCCCTGACGCATCGCCATGGTTCGTCTGGCGGGGGCTGGGGCGGGCAGAGGAGATGATTATCAACTTCAGCATCGCCGAGGACCGCAGGGCGCCCCCCGGACGAGGAGGGATCGGCGGAACGGGGCGGCGATACCTTCAGGGGGAAAGTGTTTGGTTTGCCTCTCGTGTGATATGTAGGCTGCTTGTGTATGGTAAAGGAAGAAAAGGGGATGGGGAGGGGAGGGAATGGAGGGAAGGAGAGGGAAGGATCAGAGAGAGAGAGAGAGAGAGAAAAAAGAGAGAAAAAGGGAGAGGGAGAGAGACCGAGAGACCGACAGGGAGAGAGAGAGAGAGAGAAACAAAAAGAGAGAGAGAGAGAGAGAGAGAGGGATGGGGAGAGGGCGGGGGGAAGGAGGGGGAACTGGAGGTGGAGGGGGACCGAGGAGGAGGTTGAGTAGGATTGGAGATGAAGAAGGAATAAGAGCTGAAAGAGGAGGGGTGGGAGAAGGGCGGTGGCGGCGTTTGCGGATATGTAGCACAAGCAAGAGCGGGATCATAAGGTTGATGAGGAGGAGCATGAGCAGGAGGCCCAGGGCACCATTATTGCGCCTCCTGTATTCCTCTACAGACATCAATTGCTTCCGAGGAGAGGGAGGAGGATGTGGATTACATAGAAAACAGAGAAGAAGATGACGAAGAAGACGAAGAAAACGAAGACGAGGCGGCCGCGATCAGGGAGGGCCGATCGCCCAGCATACATCACTGAGAGATGCCCCTGTCACGCTCTGTTCCTTCCCCTTCCGTTCCTTCACCCCACCCTCCCCTCCCCTCTGGGGCTGCGGCCTGCCCCACAGGGCAAAGTCCTGAGGGGCAACGCCCACACCCTGGCGCCGATGGCATATAGGCCCTGCGGGGTGTTGGCACACGGCGTGGGGTGGCCGACTCCTGGTACAAACACCCGCGGATAGCTCCCTCCCTTCCCATGCCATCATCATCATCCCATGCGCATCCTTGAGCATGCATCCGCACATCAGTACGCCAGCACGTCGTCCGTCTCAGTTTCCGCAGGGGCGAGGCTGGCAGGACGTGTGTCTGCAGTGAGGATATCCAGAAGATCGGCAGCGCGACGAGGAGGAAGCCCGAGCTGGGTCACCCCCAGGGGCGCGAAGCCAGCCGCGCTTCGCGCGTCGCGGCTTGAGTTGGAAAGGGTGCCCTTCTCCAGGGCGGCGGCGCAAGGGCGCGAAGACATCGCGCATCGCGGGGCGCGAATTGCGAAGTTGGAACAACGATGCAACAAAACAAATCAGAAACCCTCGGGCCTTCTGAGAAGCCGTCATCGGCTCCAGAGAAGGCTCAGGAAACTTCGCATCATTGAGGCAAGAAGAGACCTTAACCCGAATAGCACGACTCACTCGGGTCCCCGTCTTCGCATCATCGATAATGCTGATGGGCGGGCTGGTCTGATACATCTGCAGAAAAAAGACCCCCATATCCCTATTGTTTTTGGCCCTCCCAACTTAGGCCCCCCCCAAAGGGTTAGGGGTGATTGTATTGTTTATCATCTCAGGAGGCCGGAGGCCGGCCTGAGCCTTCGGGCGGGGGAAAAGGGGGGGGGGACCCCACTGAGGGTGAAGAAGGGGGCCCTACAGGGGCCCTTTCGGGCCCCATCTTGGGCCCCCGCTGGCTCCGAGAGGGGCCCTACAGGGCCCTGTAGGGCCCCTTCCTTCCCCCCCCCCCTGTAGGTCACCCTCCCGCACCACCCGCCCGAGAGGGAGGCCGGAGGCGGGAGGAGGCCGGAGGCCGGCCGGAGCCTTCCGGGAGGGGCCCGCGCCCTTGGCCCTCCCCCCGCCTGGCCGCGGTGCCGAGGGGAGGGGGCCCACGCGTCGCTACATGGCTGGGAGGGGGGGGGGCATCGCTCGGACGTGTCTCTGGGTCTCCCAGGTGGGGTGCGAGCAGATTTCGAGGCGGGGTTTTCTTCATAACGACCGCCTGGAGGGTCGATGTTCGGAGACCTCGGCAGGCGGTGGGTATGGATATAGTCGGGCCACCTGTTGCCCAAATATATATATATATATATATATATATATATATATATACATATATATATATATATATATATATATATATCCATACCCACCGCCTGCTGGGGTCCCAGGACGTCGGTGCCACAGGCGGTGGATATGCATATATCACCGCCTCGCATAGATGGGGTCGGAGGGTTGCGCCACAGGCTCGATGTGGAGCCCGAGTGTCGCCTCACCGGCGTCGCCGATACGCCGCCGGCGTCGCAGGTGCATCGCTGATGCATCGTCGATGCTTCGGCGATGCATCGGAGAGGCGGCGCGATCCCCCGACCTCATCCTACTCCGACCCCGTTTCGGAGGCCTCGAGCCTCGGCGAGGACCGTCAAGGAGCATGCTGGATCATCCTGCGGAAGATACTCCAGAGTTCGTAATAAAAGGGAGGGGGTCTGGACCCTCCAAGACAAGCCATTTCAGACCTCCCCCGTGGGAGAACCCTCCAGAACATCGTACCCAGACCCCCCCAGGCCCTCCAAGATAGCCTGGAAGAGACCCCTCTCCGAAATGAGACCCCCCTCCTTTTATTACGAAATCTGGAGTAAGCGCACGAGCCCGATCTGTGCACTGTGAGCATGGACGTCCGAGCGATGGCATCGGGGGGCCAGCGAGAAGAGTTCAGGGCGAGAGGCCGAAGCCACGGGCCGCCCGGAGTGGAGGCCAGACTGCAGGGGCCTGGTCGGTGGCAGGTCGTGGGAGCCTCGTGTCCCCTTGCACCCTTGCAGCTCCGTCTTGGGAGTGCGTTAGCATCGACTACTCCAGATTTCGTAATAAATGGAGGGGGGTCTCATTTCGGGGGGGGTCTCTTCCAGGCTATCTTGGAGGGCCTGGGGGGGTCTGGGGACGATGTTCTGGAGGGTTCTCCCACGGAGGGGGGTCTGAAACTTCTCGTCTGGGAGGGTTGAGACCCCCTCCCTTTTATTACGAACTCTGGAGTAGCGTTGGGTGGTCGATGAGATAGCGCCGATTGATAACCGATGAGCGTCGAACTGGCGTCGATTCGCGTCGCTTCGCAAGCGCCAACAAGATGGTATAGTAGGCTCCCGTGCGTTGCCGCAGAGGCTTGTTCGCCTCTGATCACAATGTGGCGCTCGCACTGCTGTCCTGAAGCTCCCGGCAGGTCCTACCTTCTGGGGCCGACCTATGTGGCCGCCCGGAATCGTCTGAATACGAACGGGTCGGTGTGCTTCCCCTTCTCCCCTCCCCCCCTCCAGAAGTCACTCCCCCTCCCCTGCCACGCGCAGGACGGTCTCACGTCCGAGTACGACATGGAAGAGGACCGGCCAGGGCGGGGGGGTGGGAATGGGGAGCAGGTGGCGGGGAAAAAGGTGTCGGAAGGTGGAGGGATTGGGGAAGGGGAGCGGGAGCGGGAGAGGGAGGAGGGAGGCAGGGTTGCCGCTGCGCCTCGCGCCCGCACCTCGCCCCGCCCCGGCTGCGGCCGCCAGATGTTCCTGACCGGAGACACGCAGCAGGAGCTGGGCGTGCGCCAGACCGGAACCTGGAGCGGGGCTGGGTGTGCCCAGGGAAGCAGACGACGACATGAAGCGAGGACGCAAAGGTAAAATTTTGAAGCGCTGCGCGGGTTTCTCGGATCGGTGCTGGAGTCCCCCGGGCGGCGCCTCCAGCGCCGCCCTCGGCGCGCTCCGCGCGCCAGGGAGAGTGGTCCAGCGCCGATCCGAGAAATCTGCGCGGACCTTCGGAAGTTTATGTTTCTGCAATTATTTGTTCCCCGATTGCCCCTCTCATCATGAATGACGGGTCCTGAGGGAAACGCCCTTGAGGTTTTTCACGTTTTGCAGGTGTCAGAGGCCTTCCACGTGCCCCGGGGCTGTCAGAACACGACTCAGGATGAAGAACTTGAACGCACGCTGGGGGAA